GTGGTTCCTGGTCACCAGGCCTTTGCTGCTCAGATCTGCTGCCAACCCTGCCACCAGCAGAGTCCCTCCACGCAGTCTGGTGACACCACCCTTGGGCTCTCCCCAGGGTGACACACTCCCCCCTGCCCGTCCTCCCCAGGCAGGCGCAGCCCCCCAGTGCGGGGAGGGTCCCCCACACCAGGGGCCCAGTCCCGAGCTCTGGGCCGGGCCCCTGCGCTGTCTGCTGCCCTCGCGGCGTTGTCCTGTGGGTACCTGGACCTGGATCTCGTCCGACAGCTCCTTGGCAAGGCCGTGCAGCTGCCCCGCCGAGGGGTCCAGGGCCTTGACCACCACCCTCAGCCCCGTGCGGCCCTTGGCCCGGCCGAGCAGGCTCATGGCGAAGTTGTACTGCGAGGGCAGCTGGATGGACGCCTGGGAGCAGAGAGCGGGCTCAGGGACAGGCCTGGGGGCACCCTCTTCCCCAAGGCCACTGCCCTCGGCCGGGGTCAGATCTGCTGACCCAGGGCCACACAGACGGCAGTCACCCACACCAGGCCAGCGGCCACTCTGCACGGTGCCTGGGACGCGGGTCACTGAGCGGGGCCCCATGTGTGCGTGGGAGTGTTACGTGGGGGCTGCTGGCTTTTGTGGGGTCCCCCGCAGGGCCCGCTGCAGGACGTCTGCGATACGCCACGCTACCTGTGTCCCCTGCCCTGGGACAGGCCCGTCCTCCGGGAGGCAGCCTGGGCCCTACCTCGTGGTGCCGTCCGCGGAGCTCCAGAACGTCGCGCTTGGTGACCGACCAGTGGAAGGTCAGGCCTGGCACGGCGTTGGCAAAGGAGAAAGGGCTCTGGTTGTTGGTGATCCCGGTGACATAGACGGGCATCTGGGGGCGGGAGAGCCGGGCCTGTGAGTACCTGCGCACCCAGGCTGGGGACCCTCCTCCAGGGGCTCTGCCTCTCTGCCCACGTCCGCCCTGCGCGGACTCGGGCCGGACACAGGTTCTGGGAGCCCTGACCAAACACCAGATCATCCAACCACCGGGGACCGGCCTGTCCCTCCCTGCCAGGGGGCTGTGCACCACCAGGTGCATTTCTGGAAGGACCCCTGGGGCTGCAGGAGGCCTGTGGGCGTCCCTGGCCACTCAGCCCACGCTGCCCGAGGTCCGCACCCTCCGGGACGATCCCAGGTGCACGGGAGGACACACGGGCCCCTGCACCCACAGGGCGCTTCACACGAGGGACGAGGACACTCTTAGGTCTTGGTATTGGCAGGGACTCCGGGAACCAGGCCCCCTGGGTGCCAAGGGGCAGCAGCCCTGGCTGTGCACATGACTCAGGCTGTCCACGTCCATCCGCTCACCGGCCAACCTCACAGGTGCCCGGGGTAGGGGCCCCTGCTACCCAGGTGCTACCCCAGGTGGAGGACGGGCAGCCTCGCCCCCAGGGAGGAGGCCGAGTGGACCCCGAGGGGAGACGCTATGCTCCTGTTGCACGCCCACCCCACCCCAGGCCCAGAACTGAGCCTGAGCTGGGTGCCATGGACACCCGGCTCTGGCCCAGGGAAGTGCCCTCACAGTGACTTCTTCAGAACCAAGACACGGAGCGCCATGCCGACGGGTCCTCACCTGGGTGCCCGTCCTCATGCGCGTGATGGGCGCGCGGATCCTCACCGCCCGCAGCTGCACCACCTCCAGCTCCACCAGGTCCTGGGAAGAGACTGGGCTCAGGCGGCGGGCACTTCGGAGTCCCCAGACTTGCATATACTCCCACGTCCTCAACTCCATGCTCCTCTTGATCTGACCCAATGCCCACTTCAGTGGCCTGAGCGCACGCACACCTGTCACCTACACGGTGTTCCCTCCTCTGTCCCCGGCACATAATCGAACCTCGGTGGGAACGAGCCAGCAAGACCGAGAGCCCGGCCACGTCCCAGAACTGCCGCACGAGGACAGGGACACTGGCTGGTCACCCCGGGGGCCTCTCTGCAAATAGGAGCCAGAGGCACAGAGCGGGGTGGTGGCCTGGCCCCAAGTACCCGGGAGACTCGGCCTGCAGGAGGCACCCGGGGACGGGGCCCACGCACACAGCTTGTCCCAGGAGGGGACACACAGGGAGGGCAGGTCGCCAGGAGTGCCTGGTGCTGCTGGCCACACGGGGCTGCCTGGACCCAGGGCACCGACCTGCAGGGCTCCCGACCCCAGGCGTGTCCGGTGGCGGCCACCACGGGCTCAGGGATACCTGGGAGACCACGATGACCCTCCCGGTGTCCGCGTCCGCCGCCTGCACGACGCCCGACACGGTGCCGCTGCCCACGGCCAGGCCACGGACCAGCCCCGTGCTGCCCACGGCGGCCACGCTGGCGTTGCTGACCGAGAAGAGGATGTGGGACTGCGGCTGGGGACCGCCCTCGGAGGTGACCTGCGGGGGGCAGACGCGTGGCTTCGTGGGCCCCTTCACCGCGCATCGGGAACGTCCACCCTCGGGGCCAGCAGAGGCCACAGGCGGGCTTGTCCCGAGCCGGGGACGCGAGTGGGAAGGACAGGCCTCGGCTCCTACCTGCATCGTGGCCCCGATGATCAGCGTCACCTTCCTGGGAATCAGCCGGAACGGGGGGAAGACCTGAGGGGACGGGAGGGGACGGGTGAGCCTCGCTCACGTGGGTCACACGGGGCACGGCGCCCACGCCTCGGGAGCGGGTGGGCAGAGGCCGGACGGCGACGCTGGACAGGGGACCGGCAGCCACGGGTGGCTGCGGGGCCTTGGTAGGACAGACCCACAGAGCCCAAGGCGGGTCCTGCCCTTGGGGGCTCACACCGTGAGTCACCGTCTGCCACCTCTGGCTCCCAAGGTCCCTCCAAATCCCTGAAGACGTGAGGAGCCCAGTGGCCTTGGCTGTAAGGACCCGACAGAGGCCCGTGTCACATGGAGACGGGGACCTCAGGGCTGCCTTCCCCAGAGCGGCCTGGCCTGGGTGGCTCCGGGTGGCTCAGTGACCAGCCCCCAGGCGCCTGGGCGGAGGCTCAGGTCAGGTCTACACAGTGCGTCTGCCACTTCCCCACGGGCCACTCTCTGGGAACAGTTCTTGCCCGTCCTCTTGCCACGTGACAAGGCATGCCCCTCCTGAGGGCCTCACAGACCCCCTGTGTCACAGAGGGAGATGAGAAACCCTCAGGCTGGGCGCAGTGGCCCACGCCTGTCATCCCAGCGGCTTGGGAGGCTGAGGCAGGAGGATCGCCAGTTGGAGGCCAGCCTCAGCCAAAGCGAGGCCCTGAGCCGCTCAGGGAGACCCTGTCTCTCAATAAAATGCAAAACAGGGCTGGGGACGGGGCTCAGTGGGTAAGGACCCCTGGGTTTAAGCCCTGGATCCAAAAAGCAAAACCCCCAGCCACCTCCCTCCAGCACACATTTTATCAGGGCCTCTCCGTGGTGACTTCCTGGTCTGTGGCTGGACCGTCCAGCCTGTCCCCCGGAAGACACCCTCCCCCAGCAGGGGCAGACCCCCCAGGGCGTGAGAAGGGCCGGTTTACTTCGATCTGCTGCGGGGTCGAGCTGATCCTCTGTCCGGCGACATCGGTCACGCTGGCGGTCAGGCTGGTCTGGCCGATGGCCGCGCCGTGCACCAGGAACGCAGCCGTGTAGCTGTCCAGGGCTTCGTCCAGGGCCCTGAAACAGACGGGGCGCTGGGTTCCACCTCCGGGTCAGGCCTGCCGGGGAGGGCACAGTCGGGCCAGCAGACCCCCGGGAGGACTCACACCAGGGTGACGATCTGGGAGGCCGCCCGCAGCTTGAGGTCCATGAAGGCAAAGTACTTGGCCAGGAAAGGCTTCTTGTAAAAGTCCAGCACTCGGACGTGGGCCTTGACCGTCTTCCCAATCTCCACCTGCGTCGGGGGGGACAGAGGCGTGAAGGACCAGTTCCCTCAGGTGGGGACAGTGACCTCAGCTCCAATGCCCTAGGAGCTGGCGATGAGTCTCCCAGGATGACCTCTCTCTGGACTAGGTCAATCAACAAACGAACACCAATGAAGTACTTACTGTATACAACAGGGCTTGGGGACACTAAGAGACATGAATTCCACTCCCTGCTCTTCATGGATGAACCACGGAACCCCGAAAATAAGGTCTAGCTTAGGCCAGGCACGGTGGCCCACGCCTGTCAACCCAGCAGCTCGGGAGGCTGAGGCAGGAGGATCGCGAGTTCCAAGCCAGCCTCAGCAACAGAGAGGCCCTAAGCAAATCAGGGAGACCCTGTCTCTAAATAAAATGCAAAATAGGGCTGGGGATGGGGCTCAGGGGTCGAGTTTCCCTCAGTCCAATCCCTGGTACCCCCAATCCAAAAAAAAGAAAAAAATAGATACATAGCTTATAACACCACCATGCATTCAACAGGAGCTCAATAAGTGCTCACCAACTGAACAGTTCACATCTGGCAGTGCATAATAGCAAGTGGGGGCTGGAAATGCTTAGCAAAGAAAAAGGAATCTAGTAAGCAAATGAGCGGCAGAAATCAGATTATGGGAGGAATATTTAAGACCCGGTCTTTAGCTAATGATACTTTGTAGGTAAGTAGCCTAAGCTGCCTGAACATTTGCCTTTTAATCACCAAACAAGGGGCTGACAGCAACACCCTGGAAGCCTGGCGTGGGTTACCACTGATATTCAGAGGCATAAAAATTGTCCTGATGAGCTGGGTGCCTGTAATCCCAGTGGCATGGGAGGCTGGGGCAGGAGGATCGTGAGCCTCAGCAATAGTGAGGCCCTAAGCAACTCAGTGAGGCCCTGTCTCTCAATAAAATACAAAAAGGGCTGGGGACGGGGCTCAGGGGCCGAGTACCCCTGGGATCAGTCCTGGTACCAAAAAACAACAATAATAATAATAAGATAAATAAAAAGTTTCCTGATGAGGCCAAAGAAAACCCAGATCTATTATTTACCATTTTGCAAGAGCAATTGGCGGCCCTGAGCTCTCCCCAGGGTGGTGAAACTCCAGAGGAGCCCAGCTGCGCCCGGGGTCGGAGGCCCGGCTGCTGTGTGACCTGCGGGCACTGGAGGACGTGGGTCCCAGGCCAGGCTGGCTTAGCAGACCTCCACAAGGTCTATGTCGGCTGGATGAGAAAACCGGACAGCAGCGGGATGCTGCCCCTCCCCGTCCAGCCAGGGAGCTTCCCAAGGGCAGCGGGAAGGCCAGCTTTGAGGAGACGGGGACATGTCCACTGACCTTGTCCACCACGCGGACGTACAGCTCGTGGATGTCTGAGACATGGACCGTGGCCTTGGCCGGGGCCAGGAAGGGCAGGCACAGGTCGTGGATCAGGACGGTAGCCGAGCCGGGGAGCAAGGGGTGCACCTGCAAGACGCGGGGTGGGCGGGGTCAGGCCCCCACCTCTGGGGTGCCGCTGCCTGGGACCAGCGCTTGGAGGCAGCAGGCAAGGACATCCACAACCCAAGGGGCGTTCTGTCCACTTCCGCGGGCCCCGTGGCCAGCCAGCGGAGGAGCTGGGGATGTAAAATGTCCAAGCGGGGGAATCTCAGAGAGAGCGTCTATCTCAACTTTGTCCATTTCACAAAGAGAGGAAAATGGAAGCTGCTCAGAGAGGGGCAGCTGGCAGCCTTGGGACACACAGCAACCTGAAGGCAGAGTCAGGATTTAACTCCAGGCAGCCAGGTCCTGTTCTGGTCATCTGTTTCTGTGACTCCACGGGGAGAAGATGCCATCCAGGAGCCGGCAGAATAGGAGACAGCTGCTTTCAAAAGTGAGTTCTAAGAAACCCCCATTAGAGCTCACAACGTCACAGAACCTGGGGACCGACCCCAGAGGTTACTCAGGAAGATGCTCCTAGAGCCTCATCCATCTCTACGCCCTGGCTTTGCTTGAGGTAGTGACCACAGCAGATGCACCAAGTGAAGGAGCAAACCTGAGCTGGTATTTTCTGGACTTTTAGCTGCCAATGATCCCCATTTTTAACTCTTCTTTTCTCTTCCACCCCCTTCCAGGGACCCCACTTTCTACAGAATCTCCCCCCTAACAAATGGCACCCCAGTCTCTCTCTCATGCTGCCAGATGATGGGCATCCCCACACTGGACATTTCTCGGGTGAACATGGACCAGCTGCAACATGTCATAGTGCTTAGGCGAGTATTTCAACTGGGGGTTTTTGGTTGGGGTGGGCAGGGCCAAGGGGGGTTGTGGCCTGTCTCTAGCTCACTTTGCTTCCTGCTCTTTGGGATTCCCTACTCAGGGGAAGGGTGACGTGCACAGTGAGCAGGTCAGTGTGTGCTAAGAGGACTTTCAGTACCAAAAACCTGGAGGGGGAAAAATCAGGCTTTGGACTTAAAGGAGACAAGCAGCCATGATCATATCGCACCCTGGTTAAAACACATCAATGTTTTTTCCAGTGCTCTGAGGTTGAGCCCGAATTCTTAGCGTGACCTACTGGAGACTGTGGTGGCCAAGGCTGCAATCCCCCTTGGCCCTGCCTGCCCTGACTGAAAACCACTTAGTTGAAATACACGCCTAAGCAATACGACACTCCCAGGGCCACAGTCTCACTGCACCATCTCTCACAACCACCAAGCCCCAGCCACATCAACCTTCTCTCCTGTCCTCACGGTCAGCAGGCTCCTGCCCGCCTA